TAGATTAGTCAGCTTCGTTGGTTAGGACACGTACTGCGCATGCCTAACCATCGTCTGCCACACCGCACCCTATTCGCAGCTGCAGCTCCAGGTTGGAAGAAACCGCGCGGAGGCCAACAGACGACAAGGAAGCGAGGCATGAAGAAATGTACAGAGCGATTAAGTAGAATCGGTCTCCCGTCTTCCAGGTTGGGGTCCGAAAGACTCAGCAACTAACTGGTTGGAGACACCGAAGGTTATGGCAGCAAACCGACAGCAGTGGCGTCCTTGTTATCGGGTCAGAATGCTTAAAAGATACATATGCACAGTTAGATTTTGAGATCTGTGTTGACCAGAGGTTCACTTTCAGTGTCTCCCTCCAATCAGGCCCAATCTCTCCCCATCTTATGCTTATTACTTGATTGTGTATTGTGAGCTTCGCAGTGATCAGTGGAGTTCGCTTTACTGTAGGCTGCAAAGAACTGCATGAACACCACCGTTAATGATGCTCAGCCATCTACCTATGTATCATCATTGCTTACAATGATCTTGAGATTCCTCACCCAGGAAGCCAAATCGGTCTAGGGGACCGTCTCTCGGGAAGGGTTTTCATACCCTCAAGTCAGGTATTATTTCGATCACCGTTGGCTTTTTTCCGTCCACTACCTGCCTCGGTAAACATCGCGCACCGTGAAACCCTACTTGACGACAAGCGTAACACCAACCAGAGTAGATTATGGAGGTCAACTGCTTGCTCAGTGAGCGTAACCTAGCACCTCAGTATTGCCCTGTCGGCCTCCCCACCAGATTCGTGCAATACAGCGGTGTTCGTACACCAACAGTTTATCTTTATCCTGTTTCCTTTGCGGACAAGTTTCCACGCCGCATGGCAAAATTGCCGCAGCACACCCGTCTCTCCACGGACAGCCGGACATCTCGACCGCGCCGATGTTTCAAGATGATAAATGCCAATCGAGTCTACCGTGTGCGAGTCGACACTTTTTCCGTGATGCGTCCACCGGGCGAGATGTGAGTGCCCAAATTTTGCCTGCTAGTTCTATTGCTTCCTCAGTTAGAGCGAGAGTGGAAGCTGGACCGAACCTACCCCTCCCTTCGTTTCATTTTCCGTTTTTCCGCCAAAGATCACTGCCGAATAACGTTGAACTAGGGTAGCTCCCTGTGAGGTTCCGTAGACCCGTCAGCCCCTGAATCAGGGGACCTTCATCGTCAGGACCTTTGACCAGCGTGGAAAGCATGTCTAGCTCATAACATCTGTAGCAAACATTGAACGTTTTCCCTTTTGATAGAGATTATACCATTTGTTTCGCACAGTCTGGCATCAGACGTGTATGAAATTTATATATGTAGCGACTAATGTTCCCTGCCTAACAGGGAAATTCAGGTTCCCAGTATATGCCACTCAAGAGCACCAGGTCCGTCCCCGATGCAATTCCTTTACATATTAGACGACAGCCAATTCAGCAAATTTACGTAAGGTGCCTATCGTACTGGACGAAGATCGAGCCTCGCTTTCCAGTTCCGTCCGTAAAAATATTCCTTCATGCGCGATGGTGTTCCAGGATTAATTTACTGTTCAGGAGAGAAGCAGCGCCAAAAGCCGTTTGTTATTCAACCTAGCATATGTACCTAAACTTACCTGACTCATTCATCTGAATTGCGTCTCTGATATAATCGTGCTGACTGTCGACTTTGTGTAATTCCGATAATTAAACGCATTCGGAGAACCTACGGGGAACCATGTCGCTTAGACATTAGCTGACGAAACCACGTAGCATTCAAACAGAAGAATTGAATCAGACGTGCAATCAATCGGCACGAAAATTCAAGAGTGGATCTGAGCCCGCCGCCCGTCCAAGACAGTGAGTCTCATTGCAGTCATAAGTCCTAACAGAAAAGCGAAAGAGCTATCTGTCACGGTCAGCGGCGTTAGATACCGTCCGTAACGTCAAATTACGAAAAGCCGTAACGATGATAAACTGGTGTAAAGACAGTCAGACAGAGGACCCGGTGCTTCATGAAATAGCAGGAAACCGTTTCTTCTGATACGCAACACTGGAGGTCGTCAGAAGCACTTGCGAATAGATAAATGATCCGCAGAGAGGAACCGCTGAGTATAAGCATGTTCGGTAATCTCAGTAGGCTTACTGAATCCAACAACGGATGACCGAAATAGATCTGAAGGCTTGATCTCAAAGAATGAGCATGCTCTATCAGTAGTCCCTTCCGCCAGAACGTGTAGTCCTAAACCAAAAATTCCTAGGAGTATAGCTTAAATAAACGAGAAGTTTCCTAATCTTAAAATGTCCATCAGGAACAACTGGCAGACACCAAATAAATATAACCCACGTGACGATCCCGAGCACAGCAAAAAAACTCAGATCATTAAGGTATGAAGAATGCCATCCGTTTTATCTTCAACTATATATAACCATGACGAAACCGAGCGTTTGATGATCTAGTACAAGACAAAAACGCGTCTTCTAATGATTTTTGCTGACCTGACAATGCTAACGCAATCTTTTCTGTCGTTTGTAGAACTCGTTACAATTGGACCCACGCAAACGGTCGACTTTGGACGAACTAAACACTTCTCCTGTGCTCCGGGACGCAATTATCGTACCTTTGTATGAATGTGTTTAATACATAATACATCACGTTTTTCCATATGCATTTATTGTACAATTAAGCGTGTTTTGCAACCTCGTTCAGGTAATCAGCATATTCCACATACGGATGCTTGGTCTTCGGAGCGACGTGCCACAGATCAGGAGTGAGGTATTCATAAGTCGCCCGAATTGCAGCGTAAGTAGCTTTGGCTGAAAGAACAGCATAAGAAACAACAAATCACTTACCAAAATTGCCGAGTGTAGCTGTTTGTCCACGGGCGCTGGTATAAACGTCCTCAATACCGGCCATGTGCAAGAGTTTCTTTGGAACTGGAGCACCGACAATGCCGGTTCCACGGGGGGCAGGGATTAATCGCACAGTCACAGAGCCGCACTTTCCAGTAACTTTGCAAGGAACAGTGTGCGGTTTGCCGATCAGGTTACCCCAGTAACCTTTTCGGACAGGAATCACGGACAATTTAGCCTGAATGATAGCTCCACGGATGGCTGTTGCAACTTCTTTGGCGCATTTCACTCCCAGACCAACGTGGCATTTATGATCCCCCATGGCCACAATAGCCTTGAAACGGGTACGTTGACCGGCTCTAGTTTGTTTCTGCACCGGCATGATTTTCAGCACTTCATCTTCCAAAGATGATCCTAAGAGGTGATCAATGATCTCGGACTCTTTAATGGGCAAACTGAACATGTAGATTTCTTCCAAGGTAGTGACCTTAGAATCAGCCACCAAGCGACCTAATTGTGTCACCGGTTTCCANGTGGCATGTTTCCACTCCTCCGGAATCCGGCGCGTGTTCAGAGAGTCGTTGAACATTGTGACTAGTTGTGGAATTATTAAGGACTCTATCGGTTTTATGACGGCTGGGTGGATATTATCTGGACCCGCGGATTTCACTCCCAGACCAACGTGGCACTTATGATCACCCATGGCCACAATAGCCTTGAAACAAGTACGTTGACCGGCCCTAGTTTGTTTCTGCACCGGCATGATTTTCAGCACTTCATCTTCCAAAGATGATCCTAAAAGGTGATCAATGATCTCGGGCTCTTTAATGGGCAAACTGAACATGTAGATTTCTTCCAAGGTAGTGACCTTAGAATCAGCCACGAAGCGACCTAATTGTGCCACCGGTTTCCACTCTTTCGCGAAGGGTCCACGTCCACGACATCGTCCCCTGTTGCGACCACGTCCACGCCCGCGCCCTCGACCACCGAATGATCCACGAAATCCACCTCGACCGCCACGACCAGCATCCATAATTTAGTTACTCAACTTGGTCACGCCTAACGAGAACGAAAGTGATTCAAGGTTCGCTCAATTTGATTGATTATAACAAACCTGAGAGACCGTCTGTTTTTTTCGAAACATGGACGTTGCCGAATAACCTGTGTACTTTTACGAGTATTATATGAAAAAATGTGACATTTATTACTTGATTGATGTACCGAATCGTTTACCTCAACCACGATGAGTTGTGTTGGGACCAACACCCCTTGAAATCTGGAAATATTTCGAGGGTTTGAGGCTTTTGCCCTAGTTTTCAAGTCCTTGACACATGTCTATGGTTTATTTTGTTCGAAGGGATCCTAGAACAGAGCCTCCTGAAATGGCATTGATCGGGTTTGCCCATTGGATGTTAAAAAGTAAAATGAAACAGAAATTTCGCTCTTACACTTTAGGAGGGATTAATCCTTACGACATTTGACGGTAAATATACAGTTTCGTGTTTGCTTATCAGCCTTAATGTTTTGAGATACTTAGAGTATGAGCATACATGTATTCGCTTATTGGGGGACGATGAGACAAACTTAGGTGAGGGTCAAGAAGGCGTTTGAAGAACACTTTTCGGGAGCGCTGACTACCTCTCCATGGAAGGCGTTTCATAAAGATATCACTCAGCATGTGAGAATGATTCATGCAAGGCAGTTCGCGGACTTGGTCTAAAAGTTTGCACGCTGTGACCTCAAATTCAGAAAGGATGCGGAAATTTTCAGCAGCATCGAAGAGGTAATATGGGGAGAGTTAAATTACCCTTATTGCATCTCATTTCTAACGGATAGATGTACAGCTGTTGTAGGTGCGTTCGTACGGAAGGTCCGTAAATTGTGCAACAGCCCCCTGGACGCATTCAAGGCAATCACGATTTCGGACGGGACCGGAGTGTGCAACCTGGCCACAGTACTCCAAAGAAATTATATGTAAATGCCAGAAAAAGGAAGGTAATCATCCTTTAAGATTGGAGCAATACATCTATTCGTGCGGTTCAGGATATGGAAAGCGGCCTTAATGGTTAAACGGTTGTGATAATAGGAGGAAAAATTATTATTTGACCAGAAACTAATACTTTTATGTTGGTCCACTTGGGATATTATGTGAGAAATATCTGCTTTAAAAGAGCAGTCAGGGGNTGCTGATGGGAAGTTTCCAGTCAACTGACTAACATTTAGTAGCATCACTGGTGAAAATTCACCCATCCGGTTGCATAAAGCTACTACTGGCTTGACTTGAATCCTGTGGAAGAGAAGCTTCTTTATCCCAGATGGTGACAGCATCGGCATACATTGCACCACTTGATGAAGATACATAGGGAAAGTCATCTATACAGACCTGGAAGAGTAGTTGGCTTTGTATGGATCCTTAAGGAAGACCAGTTGTGATTCGGATGAGTTGTGATGAAAATTTATCAACCCGCTCGGTGAATGAGAGGTTGAAGAGGAAACTACCATTAAGTGTTAGCAGGGAGCCAACAATCCCGTGGAGTGTCAGTTCATTCATTAGT